ATAGAACATGTCATCATCATCATATCAGCCATTAACTGTCTATTACTGAACATAAGCCTCCCCCTTGGGGTTTGCCAGTAGTTGCCATGTTTGCCAGGTGGGTTGACAACCGCAGTTAGACTTTGGAGATGTTTTAAGAGAGACGTTGCTGCCCATCCTTCGCATTCCCTTAGTCGCCTCTTACGACACCTACGCGAAAGGAAGGGGTGCCTATGCCGGGACCAGATGGTACATAGAACATATGATACTTTATAATTACTGATTCACGTAGGCAAAATAGCGGGATATAGCTAGTCATACTATAGAGTAAGATTTCTCCAGGATTATCACTGAGATAGCAAACAAGCATACGACCCATCCGATGATAAGCGGTTACCGTAAATTAGGAATGCCTGCAATACCAAGGGCATCACGCGCGTGTTGCTGACCCTGAAGAAACCATTTTACCCCTTTGAAGAACTCTTGGAAAACCTCGACAGGGAGCTTATTTCATAACTAAGCTTAGTAATGCGGGCTACTAGCCTCATTGCTAGAAATATATCCTGTCAGGCCCACCTCCACGCTGTTCCTTCTGGAAACCATCGTGTTGAATTCTAGATGTATTCATCACGATGGGTTAACTGACCTGCTTTCTCATTATCCACCCATCATCCCTTACTGATGCCCTGTCAGCGTATACCGTTAGCGCAGGCGGGGTTACCATTCCATTATCATCCATTAAAAAAAAGAAAAAAGACCTAAGCGTCAGAGTGAGAGGAAACTTCTCTGAACTGCGTAGTTCTCGACCATTCAGGCTTTAAGATATAAGTGGTATATTTTTAACTACTTGTTCCTGTAATTATTCTATTAATATTACAAGTGCCAAAGTTTGTAACAATGAATCGATGGATGAGTGTTTGTTACTCGTTCACGCAAAAATTATTGAACGAAATTGAAGAAAATTTAGTACACGGGTATCCTAATTTAGTACATAGGACATTTTATATATTGGTTTACGCGAGTGAAGCCGCGGGATACAACTAGTAAAAGAATATATGTACATTCTATTAGTTTTGTTTGCATTAATAATATCATATGAGTGAAAGCGAGTTTATTTGCTAGTTCTATTTTGTTTAGTGATATTTGAACAAAGCGTATACCTATCATTATTCTAATAAAAGGAATTTAATATAAGGGCCAGTCTTTAAAAATATATAAATTCAACTGTTTTACGATTTTTTAAAACGTAATTTTCATTCGGTATTAGATACATAAAGACAATTACTTTTTTAATAATCCCACGCTGTTTGTTTATGGCTTAGCAACACATGACTACGGGGGTCAAGCGTTGCCGTCGGCCTATAATAATGGGTACCTATAAAATATAAATAGGTTGGGTATGATGGTAAATCAGTCGCTTTTGAATGGTTTTCACGTCTGGTTCGATTCAATGAATGGAAATATAATATGTATGATGAGTTCGTTTGACTGGAGATAAATAAAATGACGTAATATAATGTTCTATGTGTTAAATGTATACTGGGAGATTAGGACTAAATAGGTAGTTAAAATGTTAATCAATTCTAACGAGATAAACTGGTCAGATATTAAATATCTACTTAATAGTAGGAATATTCCTATGTACATATTTTGCCATGTGGTTTCGGCATAGAAAGGACCACACCTTCCTTTCTCATGCGTGTCATAAGAGGTGACTAAGGAAACTTAACGGTCGAGGGACGGGCAGCAGCGTGTCTCTTTTAAAACATTACCAACTGCGATTGCCAAGCATGGTAACTACTGGCAAAACCCCCGACTATGTTCAGCAGTAGACAGTTAATGGCTAATATGATGATGATGGCATGTTTTATAATACATTACTTCCGTTCAAAATGATTTGCAGTTAATCTTTTGGGTTGTTCACGTGAATTAGTAAAAAAGTGTTTTCACATTGAAATTTGAATCTTAAATGTGTTTAACAAATATTATATATATAAATAGTAACAAATATTTTTACAAATTGTCAAATGTATAATGTATAAAGCAAAATCGTAGCATATAGTTAGCTATATCTTGCAGCTTTGCCTGCGAGAATTAGTTAATATCGTACGTGTTAGTGAATGGTGTGATCTCTTTAATCGCGTTCACAATGACATTTTATTAAAAAAGTTCTCAGAAGTAGGATTTATACTAAAGCTTTAAAAATTATTTATCAGTTATTTTTCTGATCATTCGCAATATTTTTTAAATAAATGTCAATCAGTATAAATGGAATAAGTCAGGGCAGTACCCTGGGTCCGTTGCAGTTCCTAAGTATGCTTGCCAGATGTTGTTAGTATTGGCTCAATGTCTCATATTTGCTGATGATGTGTGTGGGCGAAAGGACTGTATGCTGGTATGGAAACACGGTGTTTTAGAAAGATAATATAATAATATAAAAAATATACATAGCAAACCAACGGAGTGAAAAAGCGAAGCGAAAAACAAAACCGAAAACTGACACAGACTTCAAATTATAAAAAGAACATCTTTTTAATAAAATTAAAAAAGAAACTAAAAAGGTGCGTCGTGCACAATGTGAATCTATTCATGGCTAACGGAACCATGGAAGACTGTGAAGCTCTATAGCGAAATATTGACAACGTTGTAGCATGGGCTAAACATTAAATGTTTTTTGGAATTAATCGTTTTAAAGTGTAAATCAATCACATGCACGCGGTCTCGTGTTCACCATTCTTATATCTGCAGTATATCTAATATGCTGCTTGAACGTGTTTTTTTTAACTTAGAATGGAAAACAAGCTGACGGCCCACCTGATTGTAAGTGGTAATCGTCGCCTATAGATATGTACAGTACCATGGACATAACAGAGTATACTGTTTCACTCATAATACCTCCCATGCGTTATATGCCATACCTATACCTCGTCAAGTTAAAGTTATGAACGGTCTTAAATCGATTCAATATTTGCAAATGTCTAAAAACGTGATTGTGTGATGTTAAAAAATCCTGAATTACCTATAAATACGAGTAATACCATAGCGGATCCCTTAAAAGTAGGCACGCAATAATTGACTCGATAAATATAATTCTGGCGAGATTTACGTCATGTTTAAATCAGGTCTGACGTTAAACAATTTGTTACACCCACCTGTTTCCGGGAACCCTTGTTTTAATTAAACTTATGTCATCTAATTGATCTTGATTGTATGTTCACTGTACACGTTTCTCACTTAAATATAGTAATAGTCCAAACTTCACGCATTAACTTTGATATTATGAGACAACGTCAATCTGATTATTACTAGTAGGATAGATTCGCAGCAGATTTGGAGTAGAATCAGCAACTTCTTTTTACAACCTATAATTTACTTTTTTATTTATATATATTCTTTATTGCACTAAAACATACAGTAACAACAATAAGTTAATAACAATGTTATTTATTTTTCCTTTAATTAATAATGCACCACCTACGTATTTCTCGGTTTGCCCAATAGTACATAGAATTTTACTGTGCATTAAAGTTTAAATAAATAAATAAATAATTATCCACTGCTTGACTCAGTAATCTTCGTATTGTATGAGAACATAACCTTCTCTTATCACATTGGCCAGACAACTCGGTATAGGGTTCCAATTCAAGTTTTAAATTTCTTGCATCGGTGATTTGCGCTTTGTTCTTTTCATTTAGTCACAGATTATATATACTACTATGATAGTAAACAAGCATACAACTCGTCTGGTGAATGGTTACCATAGCCTATGGACGTGTACAATACCAAAGACATCATGTTCGCGTTGTCGACCCTTAAGAAAGCCAAGTAATTACGCCCTTACGCAGGAGATCATTCCGCAACCTGAGTGTTTGTAAGCGCAACCTTCTCTGAAATCGCATTGTGCGTGATCAATTTGGTTCTAGGGTGTAAGGATGCATTCTCTGCCGATCGCGAGCGATGCGACGATAAAAGGTAGCTCTGAGTATTATTTTTTAACAGTAAATATATGTAGTATATATAGAAACCAAAAATATATATATTTTTTAGGAACATGGTTGAGCACATGCCATATACACATATCTGCTTACGTATAGACCCACATACAAAGTCTACTGTACTCTACGCGTTACGCGTAATCTACGTAGCACCGCGTAGAGTATAGTCTGGGTCAAAATAGGGAAAAATGTGTACAATAGATAGTTGCGACGACCTCAAATATAATAAATGCAGCTCGCTCAGTACTGTTCTTTATGGCAGCTTGTGGGGGAGATTCTACAGTGGATAGTAACGGTTGAAATGATGATGATGCAAGCATTGTAGTATGGTGTATTTATAAAACAATTTTTTATACTTGATATATTTTAAAAATAAATAATGTACAACTAATATCATAAAACATAATGTCATATTATTGACTTTAATAATTAATTTGATAAGAGTAATTTCAAATAGCTAAATCAGCATCAATATTTTTTTATACAACTTAGAATGGCAAACAATTCATATTCCATTTCATGCCATTTCCACTCTTCAAACCGAAACGCAGCCATGCAAACACAACTGCTTTACGGTTGAAACACGAATAGGACAGAGGTACCCAAGCAAACGACTTTTGTACAAAGTCTCCCTCTGGTATGCAATAATATCTTAGAATAATCAATTACGTAATGCGATTCATTTTATGCATTGTTATTTAATTAAAAAACAAACCAAATTGTTTATTAATTACATCAAATATAGGAAAATAGACTATCTATCTACACGACAAATCCTTTGTGAGGTAGACAGAGAGATCTGAGTGTCAAATAGATCTATCCTTACATACATCTCTTGCTTGCTGCACTTTCATAACTTGTCTCATACATACGCGCTGGTTCTGAAGACATTTGACTTATGAGTAACAATTAACAATTATAATATTAGTATGGTACCTTTAAATTTTTTAACGATTTCCGACTTATATTTTTCAAACTTGATTTTTTCTTTATAGTAGCGAATTATGGTAGCGGAAAGAAACTCACCTGTGCCAATATCTTCGTGTAACAAGAATGTATCTCGGATACTGTGTCACTATATCGGTACACATTGACGAAGTCGTTAGGTCCCAGTGTATCCAATAAACCGGACACTGTCGCTTTCGCTAGCCGCCAGTATGACGAACCAAGGTCGTCCGAATCGTCCAAGAGTATCACAAGGTCTTTAGGTGATGTGGCTGCTTCAACGAACCAGTTGGATGATCTAAAGTCGTAGAAGTCCCTCGCGTGGTGTGAATAGCCATCTTCTGGTGGCCAGGACATCGCTAAGGTAAAACAAGAAAGTCATATTTTTAGTGAACCAAATAATTAAAATACATTTTTAACTAATTCGATACAGGATATTCTCTATTTGTGTGGAAGGATAAAAAATAAAAAAAATGAGGGTATGACACACGATATCTTCGTTAATTGTGGGTTCATCAAAAGGGTGAGATTTCATCATTATAAAATTTGGTATACACGTACTGTATGAGGTTTTTGTTGTATTTTCTTTATGCAACTTAGAATGAAAAACAAGCTAACGGCCCACCTGATGGAAAGTAGTAACCGTCGCCTATAGACATGAGCAGTAACATGGGCATAACAGAGTATACTGTTTCGCCCATGACTGTATATTGTTACTCCCCATGCGTTGCCATTCCTAAGGACTCAGGTATTATTCCTCTGTACTCTGTAAATTCACTGATGAAGATGAAGAAGGGGATACGTTACTTTTTATCCCGGTTATTAAGTAATTCCGGACACGCAGATGAAGTCACGGATAAAAGCTAGTAGGTAATAAATTCGATTAAGCCCCCATTCCAAAATGGCAAAATCTTTCATTGCTATATTTTTGTATCAATGATTCCTTCTATTAAAATAGATTGCTAAAGTATGTGAAATAACTAATTAAGGTTAGGGTATGATAAGACTGACATATCCTTATAAAATAAAAGCCTCCAAATAAAAAAGATTAAAAAAAACTTTATTACAGTGCATAATTTCTATGTAGGTAAAATTTTACACTACGTTGCTTCACATGAAGACAGAGTTCTCAGTACCTGTGGCTTATATTCTTTCGTAGATCACTTGGTTTTATTGGACTTATCAATATATAGATATGAATAAATATTTCAAGAAGTATGCTTTTGTGAAAAGGGTAAGGTCCACAATAAACGTACGGCAAGTGCTGATAATATGTGAGCTTACGAAGAGTGCACGCCTGTTTGGTGTTCGCTACAGATGATTGATTATGTTACCTACCATATAAGGGACATGGTAGTGTAAACAAACCGGATGTTTTGTTATAACTTGGCGTCACATACTTATAAGGAATTGAAACTCGAAATCTTTACAGGAGGAGGAAAATATTTCCCTTGTACAAGAACAAACAAACTTGGCTACGTCATCGAGAACTTTATTAAGGGACGTCACTTATTATGGCGACTAGTCTAATTCTAAGTGTAGTCGTGGAAAAAATATACACATAAAAAGACTAAATTTGTATACTGTACTGAAAGTTTTATTTCATAGCTTTTGAAAGAACAAGGTAAGGAAACCAGCTAGCTAAGAATGGGAATTCAATGGCCTCGCCTCTTAGAAATTCTAATAATGAATGTTTGAAATAAATTTAGAAAAATGTAAGAAGAAAATTACTGTGACCTTTTCCTCCGTATTTAGTATTTTCCTTGACTACATTATAACTACCTTATTTATATTAGTCTACATTACTATATTTATACATAGTTATATATGCTTAGTTGCTACTGTAATTACCTGGATATCGCCTCATAAAACCAGTAGATGAGGCATAGTACTGCCACGATAGCGTAGGATCGATTTCATAGTTGTTGACGAATAACGGGTCTAAATGTTCGGACCACGCTATTTGATTCTGAACTTCGGGATCTGATGGAGAATAGAAAAAAGACAAAAACTTATAATTAAAACAATACACCATAAAGTATAATTTGTATAATCGCTTAATATTTTACTGAACTAGATGTTGCAGAACTTGTGGAAGTCCATATGACTGGTTATTTATTCAGAATTATTTTGTTTAATTCAGCTATTCGCTAAAAAAAATAATTCTAATCAAATAAACAATAATTTAAAGAGACTAATGTCTTCATATATTATTATGATATTAGGAGCATGTGATACAAATGAGGTTCAGTCGCAGCTAGAAATTCTTTGAATAGTTAAAAATGTAACGATATGTTTTTGGGTTTCTATAACGTCGTGGAATGCACGGTGACTGTAACGCAGTCTACAGTCAGCCTTAGAGAAGCGAGATACATAAATCTGTCTTTGCTTTATATCTAACTACAGTAAATGATGGTAGAAATTTCGAATAGTAAAACATATTGAAATTTAATGGGAAATCAGTAACAAATTGATTTTCAATTTTATATTGTCTATACCACGTACCTATCGGTTTATTATTGATTAGGTGGCTTCATGTATATAATGTGAATAAAGTTTTCTGTCTAATATCTAGGTCATTGGTTAAATTAAATGACCCCATTGACTTTACCACGTTGACCAATTAGGGAAATTTCTTTACTACCCATTAAAAGAGGGGTAATTGGCAAACTTGCTTCATTGGGCAGCCGTGATTGCTTTCTTGTGGACGGTCGTCGGCCGGAAAAATTAATGATTCGGCCAGAATCTATCGTGGCTTTGGGAAATAAATATGCTGTAGAGGAAGGGACTTAGTTGGAAACATTTGAGGCTTACCCGCTGCGCTCTTATAATTTATATACTTATATATAATTATTCAATGTAGGCAGCGTTATATAAACAATTTCAGAAATAATTACGAGTGCTACATTCGATTTTTATATCAGGTAAATTCAGAATATTGGCTGTTATTACAATTTATGAGAGACTATCTAAGCAATTTCCTTCTTTGGCCCTGAAATAATAGCTGTCGTTTCTTTTATGTCTTGATTTTTTCTCGGATTTACTCACGACGTATTTTTTCTAGTGAGATTCTTTATATTGCTTAAGTTGCAGAGTTCAGTTTCCATAATATCGTCTCTAAAAATATTACACTTTTTAGATGGGTAGCTGTAGTCGAACAACGTTATTGGATTATATTTTTTGCAGATTCTTTTAGTAGGTATGTTTTTATTTTCTATTCTTTTATATAACCCGATTTTATAAGGATTTTTTGGTGTTTTGGCCATTTTTATTTCAGTATAATCATGGTATTAAATAAATAATAGACATTTATGGTATATAGATAAAATACTGTCTAAGATCATAAATATATATAAGAATATTAATTACGTTAAGTAATTTCACAATTATTAATTTATATTAATTTGCCATAATTGCGTTTTAATTATGTAATTTTTAAAAATTATGTAATTAAATATAGTTATTGCAAGGTTTGTCTGATTATGTTTGCTTATATCGTAAAAGCTACCTATTTCGAACATTTTTTACTTTTACTTTTTGTAGTGAATTTGACTAGATGTTTGTGAAAGATCAATTATTTAAATAATTAATAGCATTCTCGCATAAAAGGTCGTTATGTAGGTATTTTCGCTAATAAGCAGAAATATGTCAATTTGTCCATAAATCATTCGTGGCGTCCCCGAGCGGGGTTGTGGCGCCCCCTCTTGTTCTGCCGTGTGTCAACAATATATTTAGTGTCATTATTTAGGGACGTCAGCTTGTCAGTCCCTTGCCGTGGAATTACATTCGGATGGACAAATGAAAGGTACATGTCAAAACCAACGTTTTTAACGATTCACTAATTTACAACCATTTGTTATTACATACATAGATAAATAGGAAATCAGAGACCCATTACGAAATTATAAATCGATGCGTGTTTAGTCAATTTATGATTAAATAAATCATCAAAGTGTTAACCACAACCAGAATACTTTAAATTTAGATATGGAAAAAACAAAGATTTAGACATTTTTTTTTTCATTTATTTTGGTAAACTAACAATGGCATAATAAATAATAAAATAAGGCATTAATGAAAGAAAATATTGAGTAAATTTGCCACCAACATCGTTTACCACAGTTTCGTGATCATGTGTCTATGTAAGTCTATTATTAATAATCTATCTATGTCAATAAAAATTTGATAGAATAATAATAATAATTATAATATTTATTTGCAATAAATGTGATTGACAAAAATGAACACTTAAATATTATATGCACTACACATTCAGCCAGTTTTAACATGTAAAATTAAATTATATACAAAAAGTAGGAAGGAAAGCCAATAAAAATTGCACTTTCGTATTTTTTAAGCTGTATATTATTCGTATTATAAGTACCTATATATAAGATAGCTATGTTATCACGGGGACAGAATGTTTCACGTAAATTAAATTTTGGTTTCCAGTAGCTATTGTTAAATTGTCGCATCGTCGTTGTAATGAATGAGTCAATAAATACATTTAGTAATCAACTTGATGATTGTTAAAAAGACATTCTCTTTTTGACAATCATCAAGTTGATTGAAATTAGAGAATCGATTTAAAATCATATTTATCGCCTAAAGCCAATAGTTATTTGAAGGAAAAACAATATTTAATTTTAAAAAAAATTCGCAGTGAGATAAAATAAAAACAAAATGGTACCTTCAGTATTAATATATGGCGGCATCAGTACGGCGCTGTAGCTGGTGTTGACTGCGATGTGGTCAAAATGCCGGCTAGGGGACAGCAGCAGGCGGCGGGCACGAGCAGCTAGTGTGCCATCGTCCGCGTGCACGTTTAGCCAGCGTGCGTCGTAGTAAGATCCTGGTGCACCGTCGCCGCTTCCGCTCGCTGACAGCGCAGCCGCTTCAGCGCTATCCATAATGCGCTGGGAAATAATATTATACAGCTCAAATACAAGAACGGTCAAGTGTGATAGTGTAATTGTTGGAACATTAATTGGAACTTATACAGGTATCTGAGTACAGACAGAACCTATTATATAATTACAAAAGAGGGGAAATTTGCATAGAACGATTTCAAATACATTATATTCATAGCATGTGGAAACATTGAGAAGTTGTTTTGATTTAATATATTTTATTATTAACTTAGTATTTTCATTGTTTAAATATTTAAAATAACAATAACATTAAACAAAATTATAAGCTGCAATAGGTCAACGCTTTCTTGGCGCGATTTACGTGAGTTGAATCAAACTTCTACAAACAGGCTTCGGCTCATCAAGCACAAAGAGTGGACGAATAAAAGCGTGGAGTAGACAATCGTTGGCAATTAGCCGGAGTAGAATCAGGCTGATCGGTCGCTGCCTTTGTCCCAGGACATTAACGGTCTTAAAATGAAAAATGACAAATAATCAGTTCTGGGGAAATCATAATGGTCTCAAAGGCATGATTGTAACCTACTGGTTGCATGCAGTGACGTTTAGAACTAATATTATGGTTCTGGTTATAGTATATTAAATACGTTTTCTATATTAGTTTTTTAACGGAACTCAAAATCGATGTAGGTATACATATTCATTGACATACTACATAGAGGAGATAGACCGCTGTTGTCCCTAGTTCTGTAATTTACTGAGTTATTCGTTACTTGCACTATTGTAGTTGCGTATTGTGTCAATTAATAAGTTGGCCTGTTTACATAAATTGTCGGATTCGATACTTTACAAAATCGGAAACTATAACAATAAGAAAAATAAATAAGAGAGTATATTTCAGAAAGGGAACTTTCAAATATATAAATGAATAATATAAATAATGATTGTAACTGTAAACATTAATTATACTCAAATTGAATACACAAATTGACTATTTTAAATGTTTGCTTAATCGTCTGAATGTATTTCTAATTAAAAAAAGGTAAAACCTATGTAACATGCTAATAAATAAATATTTTTCCGTACGTAATGTCTATATCTTCTCTATATACTCGTATTAGTACATTACGTTGTCACACGAGTGACCTCAATGTGACGTTAAAAATGACAATGATTATATCAAACAAAATAAATATTCAAATTACATGATTAATGTTTTATGGGGTACTAACGATTCACCCTGGCTTAGTACGGCCAGAAATTGTACATACAAATCTTCCGTAAAAAATATCAAAATCTCAAATAAAACCGCATCAAAATTCATTGCTTAGTTTAAAAGAAGTTAGCGGAGAAACAAACAGATGTTGACAGTTAAATTTTTAAGTAAATATATATTTACCAGAGGGAGACTTTGTACAAAAGTCGTTTGCTTTGGCACCTCTGTCTCATTCGTGTTTCTACCGTGAAGCAGTTGTGTTTGCATGGCTGTGTTTCAGTTTGAAGGGTGGGATATGAATTTACAGGGTACAGTGGAATAACACCTGAGTCCTCAGGAATGGCAACACATGGGGGGTATCATGGGCGTAACAGTATACTCTTTTATGTCCATGGTACTGCTCATGTCTATAGGCGACGGTTACAACTTTCCATCAGATGGGCTGTTAGCTTATTTGCCATTCTAAGTTACATAAAAAAAAATATTTCTCTCACAAAATTACAACATAAGAAAACTTACAGCTACATAGGTTACAATTTAAAACAACCTTTGAGAGAGTTGTTTTTTGTGAATTAATAATAATAAAGAGACGTATAATATAATTATAGGGTGTCTAATATATAGCTAAAAAAATAAACATAGTCCACATAGCTTTATTCAGGGAGAAGCTTTGTTGAACGATAAAGCAAGGATTGTGCAGGTCACCTTGACGTTTGCAACCCTTTCGTTCTACCATATTATCTAGTGAGCTGGCTCGCGTGTCTATAATAACCTTCACTGGTACTTACTGAAAGACTTTGACTTGCCCTTGTATATAGATACAACATGGCTCAAATGCCATGAGGAAACCTTATTTACGTAGATTTACGTAAAATGTAATGGCAAGGGCATATATATATATATATATATATATATATATATATATATATATATATATATATATATATATATATATATAGGATTAGAATTAGATTCGAGTTATTGACTGAATCGATTTCAATATTTTTATTATGTTAGTAAAAACTAATTAAAAAGTATTGACGTCATTTAGGTTCTAGTCAATTAGTATATATTTCCACAACCTATGGTAGCATATTAATTGGAAAATGATAAAAAAAGCGCATTGAAAACAGTCTGTATATTTCGATAGGAGCTCCGTTGGACGAACTAGACGGCGAAGTAGGAGCGAAGTAATTAAAAGTTGCAACCCGCTGAACCGCGTTGTCGCGTGACCCATTGCGCGCCGTGTAACCGCCTGGAGGCACAGTATAAATAATACCTAGTACAGGCAAGCTACACCGCTCTGCGTCTGTGTTTGGACGACACCGCAACGTATTGAGACTAACCCTAAGGGATATATCACACTATCATATGTATATATATTAAAGAATAAATGTATAGATTCGTTGCAAGAGATTTGTCATTTTTCCTTTTTATGTTGTGTGTAGACCAGAATATTAATGAAAAATATTTTTCAAATCAGCGTAAATAAAAATGTTGATATAGAAAATAGTCAAGTCCATTTACTATGACCAAGTTAATAAATTTTTTAATATAAAAAAGTGATTGACTTGGTTTGTATGGGTATGTGTTTAAGAACAGATGACGATTACATTACGAAAAAGAACGACGAATTTGAAAAAAGAAGATCTAAAAGAACTATAGATAAGTAGTGTGACTACTTTTCAAATGATCACTCAGTAATCTTGATAATTGTTTTTGCCAATTGATGGATAATGCGGACGTTGATAAACCACGGAATTAACGCTCATAATATAAATACAGTTAGCGGCACGCGGTAAATACGACATTCCTTTATTTTGTTTCAGCCACAGTTTCATTAAGTGCGAAATGTAAGCGTCGTTTTTTCTTGGCGACACCCGCATCGCAGCAATCCCCACGATTTTTCAATTTTATTGTCGAGCTAAGTTCTGGGTTCATATAGCCCGACGCTGCCATCCCCTGTTGCAAATTATTACATAATTGCATCTATATAGAACTTTTCTATCTATGTAACATATAATTGCATAATTATTATGCGACAAACGTGATGTGTTTTTAATTTGACATCCTTCGCGATATAAAAAAAACGTTTTTTCATACGTGGCATTAAAAAAAGTTATTGATACTCGTAACATTTTGCTTATTTCAGTAATAACTTTTACCCGCGACTTAGTGCGCATTACTGGGATAAAAAAGTAGTATATATCCTTTATCCTATATACTGGTACATGTATACAAAATTTTTTTTTTGGTTAAGGAGTTAAGTGTTAAGAAACAAATAAACTCACTTTCATTTTTATTAATTATAATTAGAATAAAAAGTTGACGTTAGATTTTCTTTGTTATAAACGTTACATTTTCCTATAAATGAGGTTTAGTGATTTAGTGAGATTTTACCATACTCTTCCTCCCTTACTTTAAGCTCGCATAATTAATGGGTGCCCCCTTATGGAGTAAGCAGTTAGGCACCTAAAATTTAATGCCGATGCAAATATATGTTTGTTTGCTAAGCCACCGAAATTAAGTCTAATAAATAAATCTATATATTTAATAGATTACGAACTTAAATTAACTTAAATAAATATATCTATGTGACAATACAGTTAAGTACTTATACATACATATATAGGCAGTGGGATCGATTCAGATGCACCATTTCTCTAAAGCTAATATTTTAATCTGATAATTTCGCGAAATTACTATTTTATGTAACTTCATAAACTAAAATTGTAATAATTTTCACTTAAATTTATTAGAAAAGTAGTTTATATTAGTTCTCACAATAAAGATTTGATAACAAATTGAAATTAAATTTTAGAGAAGGTTTTGAGAAATGGCTTCAAAATAGACCCCAATATTGTTACAATAATTAACAATGAATAGAGACAATTGTCAAGTAACTTATAAATTATATTGCAAATAAAATAAATAGAATACCGGAATACTAATTATGTAATACCTATTTATTAAAACTTTTTAGGTATAAATACTTCGAGTTAAAACATATTATTAGCTACATATATATTTTCGTTACTGAATATAGAAATGTACTAGATTCGTATATACGATAACGTGACCAATAAGCAGAAAAGGTATCAATAAATATTGAACATGGAACGAAGAACTAGAAAAGTAATCGAAAAGAATATATATGTATGTCTTAACCTGCAATTACAGGGGAAAAGGAATTGTCAGTAATGGGGTTTAACTGCCCCATTGCTAGTATTACACTCTATCAGATCAACCTCCACGCGGTTCCCCCTGGAAACCATCATGGTTAATTTTAGCGGAATTCGTCACGATGGGCTAACTGACCTGCTTTCATCCTCATCCATTATACCTTACTGGTACCCTGCCAGCGTATACCGATAGCACAGGCGGGTTAACCATTACATTATCTCTCCATTAAATAAAAAGTAAAAAATCTGCAATTACACAATGAATAGGGGTAAATATAAGTAGTGCGAGATGCTCAGAGAATGGACCTAGTATAAACATTCTTTATTACAAAAACAATTTATACAAAAATTCTATCTTTATCACACGTTGTGTAAACTGAAGAAGACGGAAAAGATTGTCCGTTCTCTGGCTATGGATGGTTTGCAGCGGAAACAGGGGTTGCAAGCAAATAAACGCAAGATAAACGGTTCTGATAATAGACGACGATATTCTTTATAAGAAAATTTCAAAAGGACGAGGTTCTTAATTCACTTTTTTTAGGTAAAAAAATCTACTTGTTATTTCCATCCATCCATTTGAATTGCCGTACTTAAATGCTCTTTAGTAATTAAAAAGTAGATTCTTTATAAGGTTTTCTTTTTTGTATTTC